AATTTGGTTTCCAAACCTACAAGCAGGGAGGTCTGCCGGGAGCCAGCTTTGTGCTGCCCCGCCCTGTCCAAACGTGGTACACTCACACACACACACACACGCACGCACACANTCACACACACACACACACACACACGCACACACACACACACACACACGCACGCACACACACACAGACACGCACACACACACGCACACACACGCACACTCTGTCATACAAACTCACATGCTCTCTTTTGACAACCTTAGTGAGATGTAATTTACAAACCATAAAGTTCGCCCATTTAAACTGCACAACCCAATGGTTTTTAGTGTATTTACACAGTTGTGCAATCATCATAATCTAATTTTAGAACATTTTCATCACCCTCCAACCTTGAAGCATTAGCAGTCACTCCCTATTTCCCAGCCCTAAGCAACCACTAATCTACTTTCTGTCTGCGTAGATTTGCCTGTTCTGGACGTTTCATATAAATGGGATTATGTGGTCTTTTGTAACTGGATTCTTTCACTTAGCATAATGTTTTCAAGGCTCATTCACATGATAGCATGTATCAGCACTTCATTTTTATGGCCGAAAAATATTCCTTGTGTGACTAGCACATTTTTGTTTATTCATCTATCAGTTGATAGACATTTGAGGTTTTTCCACTTTTTGGCTTATTGGAAATAATGTTACTATGGACAATCCTGTACAGGTTTTTTTGTGTGGGTGTGTGTTCGCTTCTCTTGGATAGCCACCTAGGAGTGGAATTGCTGGGTCACATGGTTACTCCAGCTACCACAGTTTTCCAAAGTGGCTGCACCATTTATACCCCTGCCCCAGTCTCTCCACATGTGTATCACTATTTGCTGTTGTCTGTATTTTTTGTTGGATGTGGCATCTTGTTGCGGTTTTGATTTGCATTTCCCTAATGGCTAACTGTGTTGAGCGCCTTTTCATGTATTAATTGGTCATTCGTGTGTCCTCTGTATGTCTATTCAAATCCTTTGCCCATTTTTTTCAGCTGGGTTATTTGTCTTTTTATAACTGAGATGTTAAGAGTTCTTTATAAATTCTGGATAGAAGTCCCTTATCAGGCATATGATTTATGGAAATATTTTCTCTCTTCTACAGGGCATCTTTCACTTTCTTAATGGTGTCCTTTAAAGAGCAAAAGGTTTAATTTTTTATTAAGTCAAACTTATCAATCCACTGTTTTGTTGTGTGTGCTTGCACACAGACTCTTGCACATTCAGCTTCCTGAGCTTCTGTTTTCCCAAGAAGGGTATAGGGTATGATTTGCTCCCAGGAATCTACCCCCCGACACACACTTCTGCCATAGTGGGGGTGGGGTGTCTTTCTCCTCCATATTGACATAGATAGAGGGAGAGGGGTGTGCTAAGTCAAAGGAGCCTGGTCTGGGTTGGGCAAGAGGTATGGGGGAGGGGAGGCTCCATCCATCTGGGACACCTCCTCCAGGTTCCAATACCACAGCTCTGTGGAAGCAGAGAAGGACTGGAGATCCCACATCACAGGAACATCTGTGGGTCCTCATGACCTCATCTAAGAAATGAAGGGACCAGATTAGACAATCCAGGGCAGGGGTTCATAACTTGGGTTCCACAAGCCCCTGAAGTCATATGCTCAATGTCGGATGTGTGCATTTTTCTGGGGCAGGAGTCCATAGCCATCATCAGATTTTCAAAAGGATGTGCTAAGCAAGAAAGGTGCAGAACCACCAGCCTACAAGGGCCTCATAGGTCTGAAAAATACCCAAGTTCTATCATAGCATACCCTCCATCTGCTAGGGAGGGCAGGCCCAACAGCTGCTTGGGGACCAGGGACCAGGAGTCAGCTGCTGTGTGGGGACTCCACCCCATTGGGCTGTCAGAGCTCAGCCCAGTGAGCAGCCCCTGACCTGTGCCCTTCAAGAGAGGACCCAGGACTGGCTGGTCTGGACAAGCAGGCCAGCTCCCAAGGGTACTTGAGGGGCTGCCTTGGTCACCCAGGAAGCCACTCTGCAAGGAGGAAGGGGTGCCAGCAGTTGGTGGAAGCAACCCTTTCACAGTAGGCCCCGCTTGGCTGGGCTGCAGGAAGCCCAGGGCAGGAAAGCGCTGGGGTGAGCAGGCCGCCTTGCTCCCATCTGCAGAGCATCAGTG